TCTGAAGTGACATTTGGCAATAAGTCAAAGGTGCCAATTTTGGGAAAAGGTAACATCTCTATTCAGTTGAAGGATGGTACTCACAATTTTATATCCGATGTGTTCTATGTTCCTGAACTAGACCAAAATTTGTTGAGTATGGGTCAGCTGTCAGAAAAAGGATATAAGATAGATATTGCTCATGGGTGTTGTACCATTGCAGATGCTAAAGGAGTCTTGATTGCAAAGGTAAATATGTCCCAAAATCGACTATTTCCTTTGAAAATTATGCATACTCTCCTTGCTTGCTTTACTTCTGAAGTTTGTGATGAAAATTGGTTATGGCATATGCGATTTGGGCATTTTCATTTCTCTGGATTACACTATCTTGCGAGAAAGGAACTTGTTTCTGATTTACCTGTTGTGAATGTCTCTGATCGTATATGTGAGATTTGTGTGATTGGGAAGAAGCATAGAGACCCCTTTCCCGTGGGCAAGTCAAGGAGAGCTACAAAACAGTTGGAGATTGTTCACTCAGATCTGTGTTCGTTGGAGGTTCCCTCACATGGAGGTTGTAAGTACTTTATTACTTTCATTGATGATTTCAGTAGGAAAACATTGGTTTACTTTCTGAAGCAAAAGTCTGAAGCATGTGATGTTTTCAAACAATTTAAGGCTTTTGTTGAAAAGCAAAGAGGTTATGAAATTAAAATCTTGAAAACTGATGATAGAGGTATAGAATATATTGCATGTGATGATTTTCTGAAGAAGAAGGGTATCCAACACCAGATGACAGCTAGATACACTCCACAACAAAATGGAGTGGCTGAGAGGAAGAATAGGTCTATCATGGATATGGTAAGGTGCATGTTGAAATCCAAGAATCTGCCTAAGCCTTTTTAGGCAGAAGCTGTTGCTTGTGCTGTCTATGTGTTGAATAGGTGTCCAACTAAAAGTGTCCGCGACAAGACACATGAAGAAGCTTGGAGTGGGAGAAAACCCTCTATCAAATATCTCAAGGTTTTTGGATGTTTGGCATATGCACATGTGCCAGATCCATTGAGAAAGAAGTTGGATGATAAAGGTGAGAAATGCATATTCATTGGTTATAGTGACGCTTCAAAGGCTTATAAACTATAAAATCCTGAAACTAAAAAGGTTGTTATAAGTCGTGATGTCACTTTTGATGAATATGGTGCCTGGGATTGGTTAGCTAAAGATGAAAGTTCAGTTGTTATTCCTGCTGTTGAAAGTATTATTGAAGAGCAACCGATTCCAGATAATGTCCAGTCTCCTTCACAGCCAGAGTCGTCAGTTCGGCGATCTCATCACGAGCACCACTTACCAGCTCGCTTACAGGATTATGTTTTGGGTCATGATAATGACCTGTCTGATGAAGAGATTATTCAATTTGCTCTCTTTGCAGATTGTGATCCTTTAACTTTTGAGGAGGCTGCTACAGAAACTCATTGGCTTAAGGCGATGGATGAGGAGATACGTGCCATTGAAAAGAATGGTACCTGGGAGTTAACAGATTTACCTCCTGGGAAGAAGCCAATTGGAGTCAAGTGGGTTTACAAAACGAAATACAAGTCAGTATATCCAACTTGAAGATGGAGACATTTTTTCAAATTGAAGAAGGAAATTGGGATGACCAATACATCCAACTTGGTTTAAAGGAGGCAATGTTATAATAATATTATTAATAATATTATTAGTAATTAAACCAAGTCAAAGAATTTAATAAAAACAAACATGGGTGAGTCATGTATGTTAATGTGGAACATGCCTAGATTATAGGAGTAGTACATGGAGTATTAGCTTCCTATTTATTAGCTTTCTCTTAGTATAAATATGTGGTGTATTTTCATTTGTTAAATCATCCCAGTGAATAAACATTATTCATTATAATCTTTCTCTCTCTCTTCCTATTTATATATTATTATATATAAATACATAGATATATTATATATAATATATATATATTATATTTAATATATCTTACAAAGGAAGTGCATTTTTATTGGATATCCTGCTAATGTAAAAGGAAATATTTTATATGATGTACAAAATGGTTCAATTTTCATAATCTTGAGATAATGTACATTTTTATTAACAAGTGTATGTTTCCCTTCAAGACAAATGATGCTAAGAATCCTCCAGCAAGTAAGGCACATGCATGATTTGTGATGTACATATGTTCTTCTCACGGCATTGATTGAACGATGGGGTTTATACATTGAGAGTTTTACATAATTGGATTGAACGATGAGGTTTATACAATTTAAATGGTAACTTGTTACTGATCATTTATTCGTTTTGAATTCATATTTTAGAAATTTAGTGTTTAAGCAATATAATTTGGATCCGAATTTTGAATTATAGTTCTTATTTCTACTTGTGATTACCAAGTCCACCCGTTTAATATTATGTTTTAGTTTTTTTTTTTTTTTTTTTTGAAATCATGTTTTAGTTTTAATTTATTTTCTCTTTAATTCGCATATTTAAAGTTATCTGGATTATGTAGGAGAGAGATATAATATAACCAATGAACTTTTGGTAATGATTTTTGACAATATTTCTTCTTTGACTACACTACTTACGACTATGATGGTTACGTAGGTGGATTTTATGTAATAAACAAAATTGTCATGTAGCAAAATGGTCATATTTAAAAAATTGAGTTTCTTGATAATGATGTATCTCCAGTTATGGAGGATAGTAGTCCAACAATGGACCTATTTGAAAATTTGAATTTCATGATTATGATGATGAGGCATGTCTGATTATGGAGGATAGTTGTCCATTGTATGTCCGTTATGATTAAGTGAAGACAATACATGCGTTTGAAGATCTACGCGAAAAGCATTCCAACTTATCTTGGATTTTTTTCAATTCGAGGGCACTCATAGCCCAAAACATCAAAATAAATCTCTCTAGTGCAAGAGCTCTTGAGAGCAACATTATTATAAAAAGCATTTGGAGTGAAGATGCACACATTGATTCAATCTTGATTGTGTTAAGCATCTTCAGCTCATGAATAACAAAGCAACTATCTATACGGAAGAAGCCCGAATCGAACACAAGTTGTCCATGCTACAACCAAGCATCATTCCAGTGCCTTGAGAGAAGAGCCATTCTGGCGGCATCTCAGGTGGGCAAACACTCCAAAATTTTGTCCTTTACCTCTACCGACAGCTCACTTATTAAATCCCTACTTGCATCCACTAGGGTTTTGAGTCGCCGACGTCGAGTCATTAAATTGAAAGAATAATGAGGCGGCTTCAGTCGAAATCAAAAGCTAAAATCGTTCTATTCTATTCTTCAACTGCAATATTTCATAAATAAAAGGAAATTAGGAAACGACGAGTTTGGTAGAAAACAGAGATTGGGGGAAAAGTGACAGATTATAAACCCTCACCTCTGATGTTTGGTTTGGTCCTTTACGGGTTAGGAAAACCAAAGCGAAACGGCATGCTATTCCTCGATCTTGAAGATTAGACGTGGAGCAGAGTAGCAGACGCCAGACGGAGAAGACTTGTGAGGGGAGACTGGAGATAGAGACAGCTTTGTATTTGGTGATAATTTCAAATTTATATAGACTAACGTTTTTGACAAACTATAATATTTTAAATATTTTTTATCTTTCGGATAAAATATATTTTAGACAAAGGCTATTTTAGTCTTTTTAATTTTTTATTATTTTTTTCAATCAGTCAATTTCAAAAAAAGTTCCTTGTCTATCATAGTCAATATATGAAAAATTAAAAGAGTTGCAAATATTAAAAGTTTATCTGGAAAAGATAAAAATAAATATTTTTGAATGCTATTGGCTCTATTACAATGTAGTATCTGTTCATATACTTTCCTAACCTACTGAAATAGAAAGAACCAATAATGCCACAATCTTCCAAATGGAAGTCCAACCCGAGTACCATTAGACCACATAGTCTTGGTAAATAAAAATAAATATAGTTATTAAGAATATTTAAAGCTAATTTAAAATTTCAACAAAATAGCCACCTGGTTTTTTTGAGTACTACTATAGACCACAAGATCATTGGCTTTTAAAATTATAGTTAATTTGTATTAAAAACAATTTCTTCATTTTTATTTAATTATTATGACATATTTTTGGGAAAAGGTACAAATAGGTCATTAAACTATTTAGGGGATAACAATTAAGCCACCTAACTTGAATAAACTCCACATTCATCTATGTATGTATTTATTTAAAGAGTTTTGAGTATTATTAACTCTGTTATAACCAAGTATTTATCTATATATACTTTCCCAATATCCTGTGACCTTTCATTTGGGAGAATCACAATCATGGCTTGACTACAATAACGTACAATAACAAATATTATATTGTAATGCAGATTATATGTACAATAACGTACAATTGTGCATTTGTTTTTATTACTTGCTTCCACCTTGCATGGAGATATTGCGTCTTTATTGAGTATGTGTTAATCTATTAATCGTTGCATACTTTCAAATGTCATTTCACTTTGTTTTGAATACGTAGATTTTAATCCTACAAGTATAGTGGAATATATTACTATTACATTTTAAATTTGATGTTGTTGATTCAAAATAGCTTCTCAAATTTTGTGCAAAAAGGGATTACTAAATCCAAGTAGGAATCAAGATTCCTACTCCTATTTTGGTAAGGATTAACAAAAACCTTCTTAGCACCAACATATGACTCTTGACATTATAAAAGCAGCTACTCATCAACACAAGAGCTCAAGCTTTCAAGATCTAATTGTGAGGTACGAGAGTCATTGAGAAAAGATACCCAAGCTCCATAGCTCGCCTCCGCTTCATCATCATCAGGGAGGGGCAAATGGCTATTGGGGATGGGGAAGAAGTTGACATAATATTTTCTGCTGCATTTTACACATTCACGCACATTAAGTGAAAATCTCAGGCACATTAAACACAACACTCACGCACATTGAGTACAAATCTCACGCACATTAATCCACCGCACATCCGCACGGGAAGCAACAAATGCACGAGAACCTTTCACTATATATATATATATATATATATATATATATATATATATATAGGGTCGCACTCATGTGCGAATAGGCGCCCAAGAGAGAAATGCGAATGCATGTCAGCCATCTACGTGTCCAGATCAACGAATTAGATGTAATTTAAAAAAAAAAAAAAAACCGATACGGTGACATTTTCATAAATAACTCGAACTTTGGTGCAGGTAAATGTTTTATAAGTGCAATTAGTTGGTGCACCTTTGCAAGTAAAAAGTGCAGGTAAATTCAATTAGAAGTGCACCTACTTTTACCTATATGTGCAAGTAATTTTAACTTGTTAGCATTCGTGCACCTAGGTGCAACTACTTATAACTATAGATGCACCTAATTATAACGTCAGGTGCACTTAGTATTGATGCTCAGTGTAAATATTACTTGCACATATAATATATTTTACATGCATTTGTAATACATTTTACATGCATTAGTAATACATTTTACTTACATGTAATTTTGTCTTGTTAACATTCATTGATCAGGTGCACCTACTTTCGCCTACTAGTGCACCTATTTTCACTTACAAGTGTATGTAATTTTGCCTTGTTAACATTTATTGATCGGGTGCACCTAGTTATAACTATAAGTGAGCCTAGACCTGAACACGTGGGGCGAGCTGAGTTATTCACAATTCGCTTCTGGGCGCGCCATTCACACTTGAACGCAACTTTAACAGGTGTCACTGAGTTATAAAAAAAATAAAAAATAAACACCATCTCTGCCTCCCAAGGTCAGCACCGTCGCTACCACTGCCAACCTCATACCAGAAAACACCGTCGACGTCGAGCCCGAGTCAGTGAAGCTCTCCAGAAACACATTCTCCTTTCTCTACCTCCCAAGGCTAGCACCGTTGCTACCACCATCATCGCCAATCTTGAGCCTGTGAAGCTCTTCAGAAATCATGGTTAAAAAAATTGCTAGGCGCTCGGGAGCGCTAGGCGCCGATTAATCGCCCTAGTCTCCCGTGTGTTTTTTATTTTATTCTTATTTTTTAGAAATTTGTTTAAAAATAAATTTTAAGTTTTTAAAATATGATAATTATAAACTATTTAATATTTTAATAGTTAATACTAAAATATTAAATATTAATCTTTAAAAATCTAGAGTTAGAACAATTTAGGCTATTTCGCTCAAAATGATCTTTTGAGTGAAATAACTTATTTCTTTAAAAAAAAGGAATAATAATGACTAATCGGCCTACTAGGCGACCTAGGTGGTGCCTAGAAGGCCTAGGCGGCGCTTAAGTGGCCTAGTTGGCGAGCTGCCTAGACCACCGATAATGACGATATGCTAGGCGACCCGTCAATGCTTAACGTCTATATGCCGATTAATTGGTAGCGGAATGTTTGCAGCACTGTCGAAAACACATTCTCCTTTGTTCGTCTGCAACCATAGAACTTAGAAGGTTGGAAAGAAAATGTGTTTTTGTTTTAGGTCAAATGCATTTTGGAAATGGGTTTGAATTTTTTATTAAAAAAAAATCCAAAAGCGAAGATGCATTTGGAAAATCGGTTTGAGTTCCACATAGTTGGGAGATTTTTGTCCAAAAGGAAATATATACTCTATATATACAGGTTTTTGTCTTACAAAATGTACTGCTCTTATGTACAGTTCACATAGAAATGAAACCTATAGAGTAAGTATATTTGGCAAAAAGTGCTTTAAAAAAAAACTGCTGGTATATAAATGAAGAAACAAAACAATATAGAGTCAGGAGAGAGACAGAGTCCTAGTACAAAGAATCAGCCTGAGCAAAGGCTGCTGTAGATAGAGTATGAGCGTGTAAATTTAAAGTTCTAGATACGAAACTTAAAGAGCAATGTGAAAACATAGACATAGTGGCCCTACATTAGTCAACAATCACCCCAACATAGGATAGGATGACCGTATTTGGAGATAGCAAGCAGCTACGTAGCTCTGAGCAGTAGGTGAGCAGCTCCACAGATAACACGTTTGTTTACCAAATTGTGAAAAGGAAACTTTTTCCTTTTTATGCTTCATTCTTCATTATATATATGCTTAGGCAGATTGGAGAAGACGCAGGCGAATGGGAGGAAACTAAAATCATTTTTAATCCTCTTCGTCTCTTTCGTACGGCAGTGGGCAGTGCAAAGCGGTGAAACCTTTGTCTTCATTCTTTCGTTCAGTAGAGAGGAGAGAAGAGTTCGTTGTGGTTTGCCAGGTTCTTGGGTGGTATCTTCATCAAACACTTTTGAGAGGTTAGCTTATTTGTTCCAGGCATCTTTGGATATTTCTTAGTATTCCTTTTTAGGCCTGCGGAACATAATAGAAGTCTTTGGCCTAGAGTTGTTGTATTTGATGATTTGCGGATGTTTGACTTGTGTGGTAGCCTGAAACTTTGTACCCAAGATTTATTATAGTGGAATATTTGTGTTGGTGGTGGTCCGTGGTTTTTACCCGTGATTTTGTGGTTTTCCACGTAAATGTCGTGTCTCTTGTGTCTGTTATTTATTTTGGTTGTTTTGTACCATCTCGTATTTGCGCTCCTGTCGGTCCTGTGATTTTATTTGTCACAAGTAGTAGGATTTTTCCCAACAATATGTTCTTCTCATGGCATAGAAGCTGCTAGCTTCAAGAATTTGAAAATGCTTTTTGTGGTATTGTAAAAAGTTGAGAGTTTTACATAATTGGATTGAACGATGGGGTTTATTCAATTTAAATGCTACTTGCCACTGATCATTTTTTCGTTTTGAATTCATATTTTAGAAATTTAGTATTTAAGCAATATAATTTGAATCAGGATTTTGAATTATTGTTCTTATTTGTACTTATTACCAAGCCCACCCATTTAAGATTATGTTTTAGTTTTACTTTTTTTTTTTTTTTTTTTTTTTTTTAAATCATGTTTTAGTTTAAATTTATTTGCTCTTTAATTCACATATTTAAAGTTATCTGGATTATGTAGGAAAGAGATATAATATAATCAATGAACTTTCTTGACAATATTTCTTCTTTGACTACACTTACGACTATGATGGTTACGCGTGGTGGATTTTATGTAATCAACAAAATTGTCATGTAGCACAATGGTCATATTTGAAAATTTGAGTTTCTTGATGATGATCCATGTCCAGTTATGGAGGGTAGTACTCCAACAATGGACCTATTTCAAGAATTGAATTTCTTGATCTATTAATCGTTGCATACTTACAAATGTCATTTCATTTTCTGTTGATGATCTTATGCTTGAGGGCATCTAATTTATATGAAAATGATTTAGTAGTCACTAGTTTGCAATGGAAAACTATGCTTGACAACCTTCTCAAACATATTAGTAGCAAACTTTTCTTTTATCTGACCAGTCAAATAACATTTGAATATCAAATTAGTTGAAATTGAAAACTAAAAACTAGATTGACAATTGGAAAATAATTGAGAGACCAAAATGATAATTTCCCTTAAAATTTCAGTTTTGTGATGTACTAAAAAAAATTGAATGATATTTTATGATGCAAAAAAATTTCAGTATGGTAACAAACCAGCTATACATTTGAACAAAATATTCATACTTAAAAATAAAGCAGTTCAAAGATTTGAGAAATGTCATTAGCAACCTCGTGGAATGTAAAATTGAATTGTAAAATAATAATACTAACTCAAAATTAAATTGTAAATATTTTCAATTAAGCCTAGGAGGAAATGAGTAATACTTATTTATCAACCTAGCTAGGAAACAAAATTTCATCCTTGCCTTACAAAAATTATCACTTCAATTCTAGCACAACCATTGATTACATTTCTATCTAGGGAGGTGCAACCAGGCTATAGCTAGACTTGCACTTCATAAAGACAAGTTGTGCTTTTGGAGATTCTCACCAACAAGCAAAGAACCTTAATTGCTTTCAAATGAGACGAGGAAATATATACTACAAGCATTTATTGGCAAATCAAGATCTACAGCAGACAATCAGTTTCAGTTGCTTAATCGTTCGACACAACACTATACAAGATGGATGGCAGCTTATGAGTTACATCCACCCGAAACAACGAGCTGAACTTAATTAAGTTCCCGCTAGCTCCAGCACGGTTCAAGAGAATATTATTATGTTCGCAATGGCCGCCTCTTTATAACCATTGCCCTTTGAGAGAAGTTGCTGTCAAACTCAAGCCATAATTATGACTTTACAATATTCAACACATTTGAACTAAATATTCATAAGTTAAAACCTAAAGGAAGTTCAAGGATTTGGGAAAGAGAGCAGTGATAATTTCAAAAAATACAACACCAATATGGATCCGCTAAGACACTCAATCCTCATTATTATCCTAATCATCTTCAAATCTTGATTGATAAAGCAAGAATCCTTCGTAAGTCTTGAAGCAGCATCTTTGTCATCTTTGTCAAACCACCTACTCGACTATAACTCAACAAGAATGAGAAACATGTTAGAGAAAATCGGAATGAAATGCACTTCCCTACATGTTTTTAATCACCCTATATATGCAACCTAGATAAAACTTTGTTGAAAAATTACTCAATTCAATAAAGGGAAGAAAAGTTATGAAGAATCTCAAAATTCTCTCGATCTAATATTGTAGATACCAACTCTCAAAATAAGTTAGTACCAATTCACGTAGCTTGGGGGATCTTTCAAGCAATTCCAAAGCAACAACGATTTCCTTTTCACGACCAAAGCCAGCCTGAATCTATTAACCATATTACTTGCATATTTGCTGTTCGAAACGCCTGTGCCACTTCTGCAACATCATCAAGCTTAAAAAAAAAAGGAAACAAATATTAGCCATGAGAAGAACTCTAACAAGCCCGAAGGCTCGAACAAAAAAATATTTTTCCACAAAAGGCAAAATTTTCTCTCCTTAAATCCAATAGGATAGGATAGTGGAGGGGTAAACCACATTAACATAGTGGTCCGAAGTGGGAGAACCTGTGCTTGGTTCCCACCATAGAAAACTAATGAATTAAGTGACCCCAGGAAATATATA